ATTTTGTGTTTCTGGTACTTGTGGAACATTTGAAAAATGGTAGTATTTATGGAATATTTTTAAAATAGTAGTATTTTTGTAAACAAAATTTCAAAATATGGTATTTTTGGAAATTCTGTTTTTTATATATAAAATAATAACGTCGTCAAAAAGAAAAAAAAAACAGATTTTCTATTATATATATAGATTTGACGGTATTTTTTACATTTGAATAAATTTGCTTGTTTTGGGATTCTTCCTCTTGGTTTGAATTTTGTTAGATGTGGACCATATGGAGTTTTGACTTGATTTACTAAAAACAAAATTTAAAATATTTTGCTAAAAATAAATAAATTTAAGAGTACTTAATAAAGATGAATTAGTAGAATAACCAAACTAGGATAAAAATTAGCAATTCAGCCAAAATTAAGATATATTGTGCAATCGTAACCATTAATTCTTAATGAATTGGTTTATTATTGAATTATAATTTGTGTTGTTGATCATTGGCATTACTAGGTATTGTAGTACCTTGGTCGGCGTTGCTCCGTGTGGAGTGTCGAAATCGGATAATTTAACCGACTTGTACATTTGTGTAGCGGTTGGGAGCCACATAACGTTTAACCGCCAACCAAATGGTCTTCTCAACGACATTTTTGAACAAGGGTCAGTGGTGCTAATTTTCCTACTTAATTATTTTGTTTGTGTCGAGTTAAAGTGTTTGGTTTATTGTCTTATGTGGTTGGGTTTTGCGCTTTCCGGGGTATTGTTTCAAAGGCTTCTTGAGGTATGTGTTCTACGAGCTTGGTTCGAGCAAACACTCGAATGTTTGTTGGTTGCTTTAGAGTATGTGCAATATATTCTTCATCCGTCTATGCTCGTAAGCTTTGGTTTGTGTCGTGAATCGCCTAAAAGGAAATAGCAATCGAATATTGCTCACAATAAAAATTGAAAACTGAATGATACTGTGTTATTCAACTGATGAAGAGAACTGTGGCTTTATAATAGCCTTACAACGATAATGAGAAATTTACGGAATATCCAACATTGCCTGCCTTCTTTCTATGCATCCGATGGATTAGAGTTAGACCTAATGGTTGGCTTTCTTCTTAGTTAGTGTGTTTCCTTTGGCATGGCGTGGTCATTGTCTTATTAGAGAGTATTGGTTAGGGCTTCTCCTTTCCAATGCCGTGAATATTGATCTGATCTCCTTGGGACTAATATTTTTTAGGTTTCTTTCCCACATATTTTTTTTTGCCATTGTCTTATGTTGTAGCAAAAAACAGATAATGAAAAGTAGATGTTATATAACAATGAATAAATATAATTTATTTTTTCCAATCAACAATTCTATTAGTAAATTTTTAACAAATTGTATTTTGATATATGAAAGAATGTATGTATCAATTTGTTTAATGGAATAATAATAAATGTTACAAACAGTAAAACAAAGGCAACTATAACGTGAAGGGGTTAGGTCTACCAGATCCCATTCCCTCTTCGTTTAAATGGCGGAGATAACAAGGGAAAGTGACCCACTCGACCTGATTCTCCCAACACTTTTTTCTTTCCCTTTTATAGTTTTGTTCTTTCTCTTTCGGTGGTGAGCCATCTGAGAGATTCTTTTCTTCATTTTTCCCATTTGGACTGTTAGAGCCATGGACACCGAGTTCCTCCGAACCCTAGATCGTCAGATTCTCTTGGGTGTCTTCGTCGCTTTCGTCGCCGCCGGTGCCGGTGCTGCTTATTATCTCTCATCCTCCAAAAAACGAAGAGGTTCGATCTCTATCCCAATAGTTTACCGGGTCTCAATTCACAATGCGTACCTGACTGATTAGTAGACTGATTTCAACAATCATGAAATTTGTATAAATTTAGGCCAAGTTTTGTGTAGAATTTCATTTATTTCCAAGGTTGAATTGGCTTATAGAACATCTTATTGATCCTTTTTGGTCTTTATGTGGGGGTACTTGTTGCATTTTGATCTTCGTTAGTAAATCTTGTGATTTGTTTGGTTAATAGGGTGTTTGGATCCTGAGAATTTCAAGGAGTTTAAGCTTGCTAAGAAGCAACAACTTAGTCACAATGTTGCCAAATTCATATTTGAGCTCCCATCTCCTACCTCTGTCTTGGGTCTTCCTATTGGACAACACATCAGTTGCAGGTTATATTCCTCTCCTAATTGATCTCTCTGTTTTGTTCACAATCTCTGAACTCTTAGAAACTTGTGCAAGTTGCTAGATACTAAAACTTATATGAAATGGCTGTGAACATACTCATCTGTAGACTTTAGGATAGGTTCTGTGTTGAAATTCAGATTAGAGAGTGTCGATGGATGTTACAATTAATATAGTGACGTTCTCAATAGGGGCAAGGATGCTCAAGGAGAGGACGTTATTAAGCCATATACCCCGACAACGTTAGATTCAGACACTGGACGTTTTGAATTAGTCATTAAGGTATAATGCTCAGAGACACTTTTCAGTTTGGACTTGGTTTTCGATTTGGGTGCTTTTTTCTCGAATTCAATCTGACAAATGATGGAAATTTCTTCTGCTAATTAGATGTATCCACAAGGAAGGATGTCTCATCATTTCAGGGAGATGCGTGTTGGAGACCATCTTGCTGTCAAGGGACCAAAGGTACTTTTTAATTCTGCTATTTTGCATACTTGATCTTACAATCAAAATTGTTTATACTCTACTTTTCAGGAGTCTCAAACGGTTTTTGTTTTATTACCTTTTACTTGTCAGGGCAGGTTCAAGTATCAACCTGGTCAGTTTAGGGCATTTGGAATGCTTGCTGGAGGTTCAGGGATCACTCCTATGTTCCAAGTATGTCTGATACATTTGCATTTGATTTAACTCTTTTTTGGAGCTAATGAATATGTCTAAGACACATTTTATTTCGCATCTGTGAAGGTTGCAAGAGCGATTCTAGAAAACCCAACAGACAAGACAAAGGTGCACCTCATTTACGCCAATGTCACATACGAAGACATTCTCTTAAAGGTACAGTGTCTCTCAGTTGCTCTGGTTCTTATGAGTCGAGAAACAAGCATTGCGTTTTCATAGATTATATTTTCCAACACTGAATGTTTTGCGAATCAATACGTTTTTTTGTCCAGGAAGAATTGGAGAGTCTCACTGCCAATTATCCAGATCAATTCAAAATTTACTATGTTCTGAACCAGGTCAGTCTCAAAATCCTAGTGTCTTCGCATTTCTCTAATGTAAATTGCCTCAAAAAGAAAAACTTTGTTTGATAACCTTTTTCCTTTGTATTTTGGTTTATTTTTTGTGGTGATGATTAGCCTCCGGAAACATGGGATGGTGGTGTTGGATTTGTAACAAAGGAAATGATTCAGACTCATTGCCCTGCACCAGCATCAGATATTCAGGTAAACTCTCCTCTGTCCTTGATCCTGAACAAACCCCCGCTCATTACGGTTACTAAATCTAATCTTAAAAACAAGATCCTATAATCGATGTTGAGTGAATCAAAACCTCAAAATTTCTGTCAATGGTTGAAACTAAACCAAGAACACTGCAAGAGAAAGATTTGTCAAGAAGTGTGTGTAGACCAAAGGATTTTCGATGGTTTTTTACGGTTCTTGTTAATTTCGCAGGTTCTAAGATGTGGACCACCGCCAATGAACAAGGCCATGGCTGCAAACCTTGAAGCTCTTGGATACTCTCCGGAGATGCAATTCCAGTTCTGATCTCTAAATCTTTATTGCCACCAAAACGGAACTCAGTTGCTTGATTAAAATAATTTAGTTACAATGCCAACTGTGAAGACTTATGTCTTAACTGAGTGAGAGTTGTATTTTCACTTGGAAATTTCGTAAACCCTTGTCCATTATGTGTTTGTTATCACACTGTAAGTTTCGATTTATTATTGGTTTACCAATTGGTTTAGTTACACTTATATGGTTTACTCATACCGGTTTGGTATCGGATAAAGACTTGAATTGATAGTGACATCCACATAACCTACCTTATTTGGTTTTGATATGTTGCTACTCAATTTGGGCTACTAGCCTATTACTAAGCATCAATCAACATTCCATTTTAAAATCACTGCTAAAAGGGATGATTTAGACCCAAAAAAACAAAAAAAAAGGATGATTGATTTTATATATTACTATTATTAGTGGAATGATTGATAAATTTGATAAGTTTCAAAAACACTTTGATTAGTCGGCTTGTTCTTTTCCAAAACATTTTTTTATAACAATATAATGCTTTTTTGGCTTTTTTAATTAGTATTTAATGAAGTTGGCACTATTAATAATATATATGCAGAAATAAAGTTTGTTTCAGTCTCTCTCATCATCTTTATCATTTTGTTTTCCTGACCGTCAGATTCGTACTAGTAACACTATGAAATGATGTGCTAGTGTAATAAAAAATAATAATGAAACAACTGTATTATGCGAAAATGGAATAATCAAAAAAATAGTAAAAGTCACTTTGAAATTGTTACATAAAATTGATAACGTAGGAATCGTAGATTGATTTCGTCCTTCAACTATATATACTGTATATCAGTATATCACATGTTACAAGTTAATATATGAAAACTCTACTATTTCCAAAATGTGCATCACATGATAATTAGGATAAGATTGATTATTATTTCAAGTATCTTGGACTATTTGATTCTCGGATTTTGTTTTAAGCGCTCGAAAATGAAACAGAAGAAACCCAATTATCATTTCTATATTTTTAGTTTTTTCCAGTTTCATTGCCATGTAAAGATCGAGACGCAATTTGACTGATAAAGAAAAAGTAACTTTATTAATATTAATAAAAGTGTGTTGTTGAATTAGCTTTTTAAGTACAAAAAAAAAAAGAATTAGCTTTTGAAGTATTGGTGAACGATGGATCTCGTTCATATTTTGGGTTATTGCTAAGCATATTTTGATTTAATTTACTCGACGGTCCAAAAAGAAAGATTGATGAATTCATGACTCATAGTACACTTACTTTTTATTATTTTTCTTGTTATGAATCAACTCATCCAATGATATTATGGCACGTCTCTCGTCTTCTGAAATGTTTTTAGTGTTGAATTACAACAAGCGATAGCCCCACATGCCACATAGCGACAATCTAGCGAATCTTTTTTGCTTTTGGTCTTTTATGTACATCATCAAATATCATCATATATAGTACTAAAGTAAAAATGTTAATTTCGACCATAAATAGTGCCTGTAATATCCCAACTTATTAACCATATACACATGCTAATAACTCCTAAAATTGTTACCAAAAGACAAAAGTGTCAGTGTAATAGTTTTGGTTTTTGTTGATATGATTGAAATGACATTAAAATTTTGGGTTATTTTGGTAATTGAGTTTTAGAAAATCACACTAAGAGCATCCGCATTAATAATCTTTTTATGAGTATATTTAAATAAACAAATATTAAAAACACACTCTCTCTTCCTTTTATTCAATTTTATACCTTCTTTTTCATCATTTTAGTCAACTTTTATTAATTTTATATTTAATCACACCCCAACTAAAAGATATTCTCTCTCCAAAAGTATTTTTTATGTCTTTCTAAGTCACTCTCTTTCCAAAAATATCCACTATCTCCTCTCTTTACTCAAATTTTATTAATTTTATATTTCAATACACCCCATTATTTCAACCAAAAACACTATCTTTCTTCCTTTTACCCAAATTTTAATAATTTTATATTTAAAAATACCTACAAAATTTTACCATTAATGATGCTCAGTTTTGAGTTTTTTTCTCTTTTTTTAAAAGCTAGTTTTTTTTGTTTTTCTATCTAAATTTTTTGATTTTATCATTCTTCATAAAAAAAAAATTACAAAAGTAGACGGATTATATCGAAATTTCTCGAGCCGAGTCCAAAAGAGAGAAGCATAAGACCAAACAAAAAGAGCGAAGCCCAAAAGAGAGAAGAACATTTATAACATGAGATTCTAAACTCGAAATTAATTATAAGCTAATAGAAAGAGGACCGAAAAAAAAAATTGGGACATTGACTCTTAAACATAACCACTAAGCCAAAACAATAATAAAAAAAGAGCTTCCAAAGACCAGGTTGATACAGTAGCTGAGCCAAACAACAAAGGCCAAGATTCAAACCAACCTAAACCAGTAGGATGGAAATCGAGCGGTCGAATCTAAAAACAAGCCTTACTGGCAACAGCACCAACGGGAATGCTCGCATAATCGAGATAACATAGAGGAAAGACCATTCCAACACCTACTCTCCAGACAACCTGAGAACTCGAGAAGACCTAGGCTCAAAGCAAAACAACTTGACCTCAGACTGGGAAAATACCAAAGAAGACCACCAACTCTTAACGCGGACACTCGCATCCCAGCCCTAGCCATCTACAACCGAGGACTGGCTACCTCCTCGCCAAATAAGAACTGAAGCTCGAAAGCACTGCATCGTCTTTAACCAAACCCAAAACAGATTCTAGAGAAAGATAGTAGATGCCTCCGCAACACAATACCATCGGAAAGACGAACCTAGTGAAAAAGACCTAACCATGCTCTAATCACAGAGCCAGAAGAGTAAACATCAAAACAGAAGAGCCAAATACCAAAATCATCTTCAACGGTTAACTCAATCTCCTACAAACAAGCTAAACAAAATCCTAGGAAGAGGAGGCTAATTCTGAAGGCAAAACCGGACGGGGAGCACAATCCAACAATAGCAGCAACAAAATCATATCTACTACAAGTCAAAGCCACTAGAGTTCACGGCGCATCACAGCAGCAACGACTGAACCTCCATAGACGGCTAAGACGGCGAAGCACCAAACCCGAACCCATCAAAAACCAGTCTCGTCTTCCGAAAAGATGAACCGAAAACCAAAAACAAACAAGAAAGAAAAGAGACGGACCAGCGCCGATGCTGCAGCGGGTAGGACGAACACACTCGATAGAAAAATGATTTTTTTTTTAAATCTTAGGTAGTTTTGAGTTTATAATGGTCATTTTTGATTTTAAGGTAAATTCTTTATAAAAAAAAAAAACTAAAGATTTTGATTTTTCAGTATCGAGCAACACACGTTTTCCAATAAGGGATAACATAATAAACTAAAGATTATTCATATCATTCCCAAAATATAATACTAGAAAAGAAAACCTATATCTGTTATTTTTCGTGATAATTAGACCTTGTATCCATGTGAAAACGTCACGATCCAATGGTTAAATAATAGTGCTATAACATGTATCATATTTGTTTTCTATATAGATTAGGGATGTAAAAAGCGTTAACTTATATTTATCAAAAAATAAAAAGGGTTTATTTAACTTTTAATTTGTCGCCATCTTGCATGATGCATGCCAATTAGATTGTCCATTTGTGTATAATTAGACTTTATTTTTGTAGTTCTGGTATATAATTTCGAATAAGTATATGAATGAAAAAATTTCGGAAAAATCAATTTCAAATCTAGACAGAGAACAAAACTACAAAAATTTACCAAACATCACGGCTTATTTAACAATTTATAAAATATAATATATACCCTTACTAGATCAATATCTTTCGAGTCTTCATTGGTCAAGCAAAAAATATTAAAATAATACGATTAGCAGTTCGTATCATATGAGATAAAAATGGAAAATAAAAGGACATGCTCTTCGTGGAAAGAGATGTGGAAATTTTCCATGAGTTTCTTTTGTCTTCTCTCTGCTTTTTAATTTATTTACTTTTGAATTCTCAAATTTTCTAATAATATTGTTGAAAAAAACAAGAGAAAGGTACATACATATGACTCATCCATTGAATAAAGACAACAAGATATTAAGACATGGAGAAGACTAATAATGTCACCAAATGTAAACCTTCTTCCCTAAGCTTTTTCCTTC